CTCTGTCCAGGGTTCTTGGAGAATGCGAATCATCTTATCGTTGCTGCCGTGGTTGTCACTGATGAAGGCCCCGATACGGTTGTGGGAGATATTGTACTCCTTGATAACGCGCAAGAACGCGTCTGTCTGCTCTTCTGCCCGGTATTGCTCAGGATGGTTGGCTAGGGCCAGACAAGCCTTCGTAACTTTCCGCGTCTTTTCGTCGAGGAAGTGGCAGCAAATGGCCTGTAGATTTGTACGCGTAGGAGAAGACCAAATGTCGACGGAGAAGTGAATCTTGGAGAGGGAATTTCGGAGACGGCGCATGACTCTACGCTTGTATCTAGGTTTATTAGCAACTAGTTATTAACTCTAATAGGGTAAGATATATACAGACTTTCGATGGATAGAAACAAGCGTCTCCTTAGCCTGCCTCCGATCGGGTAAGATCTCACTCGCAAAGGGGTTGAGTGTATTAGAGAACTCGATAAACTCCTTCCACTCTACGCTACGTAGAGATTGGTTATTGCTTGCGAGGAGGCGGATGAGCTTCTCTGCAATGCCCTCCTTGTCGAGTACTCGTCGAAGGAGTTGCTTCTCCACGGTTGTAAACTGAGAAGATGGGTGTGTCTTCTGAATGTCGAAGCCTCGAAGAAGTGTAGCCTGACGCTTTGCGAGTGGCTCGCTATCATCATTGCCGAGGGTAATGAGGCGATTCTTGGTTAGATGCTCGCGAATGCGCTTCATATTTGTTGAAGAGTAGGGACAAGGTCTGGTTCTGTTACCATGTCCCACTATTTGGCCACAATACCAGATCTGGTGTTTCCACTGGTCCTTTCCCCTCTCCACACCTTTGGGCTTGCGAGAGTAGGACCAGATCTCGGTGCACTTCTTCTTGTAAGGGCGCTTTCTTGAGGTAGCAGAACTCTGGTCTAATGCCTCAAGTTCAGCATCAAGGCGGCCATGTTCAGGAGAAGATAGGTCGTCAAATTGACTTGAATTAACGGCGGAAAGGCCATCTTCATTAATGGAGGACGACATGGCAGAAATGTGTTCAGGTCGTACGAATAGGTAAACTGTTCTATGCTGTGCTAAACACTGCCTTATATCCTTTTCGGCTTAGTTACAGAAGCCGTTTGAAACAATTGAAACAATTGAAACAACTGAAACGTAGAATGTTTGGGTTTCATTGAAACAGCAAAAAGCTCGTTTCAATTGAAACGTGAAACCGTTTCAGTTGATTGAAACGTTTCAGTACAACACTGTTAGTCAAGGCAGAGGAAGGCCT